CTCTGTAAGGAAAATAGACATGCTGCAAGTATATATACAATAATTTCCATATTATTAGAAATACAGAAATTATTTTATATTGTTATAAATTATTTTATATTATTATATTTATAGAAACTATTAAATATATTTCCCTAAGAAGTATTTATCAAAATATGCTAAGTTTTTAATCACATTTATTCCTTTGTGGCCTGAAAGTAAATGCAACCTTTCTGGAACAGAGATCAGAGTTATTATTGTTGACATCAAGAAATACATCATTTCACCACATCTAATACCTCAGGTGACACAATGAGAACCAGTTGGTCAGGCCTACACTTTACAGGGGTTGAATTAGGGGAGTGAGAAGCATCCCAGAATCAAGAATCTGGGAGTTGGTACAAGACAATCACCGACTGCCATTTTCTCCTAAGAAAAGGAGAAAAAGCTCATCTGTTTAAAGCAATAGTGGCAAATTTATGGCATGTGTGCCACAGTGGGCTGTTATCACTGAAGCTCTGAAAGGTTCCCCCATCACTGGTTAAAGTATGCAAATTTTCCCTGGGAAGAGGGAGCAAAGGTCCCTGGATTCTTATCCCTTAGAATGTAAATAAACATGGGGGGTGGCGAGCAAATGAGTTTCACTGGGTTTACAGTGTTAGGATTATCTCTAAGGCTCTGAGTTTTATATGCCTTTAAAATATAAATACATTCCTCCTGGAAATTCTCATCGGTTATCTTTTAACTTCTGGTTCTTGTCCTTTAAATTAGATTTCAGTTTTCATAATTTAGAAAATCCAGACAATGAAGAAACATGAAAATACTTATTTATTAGTATCACAATCTAAAGCTAACCAAACAACTGATATTTACAGCACTAGTTAATACCTGATATTTTTCTAAAATAGCAGTGTTCAAATCCTTTGTGCAAAGCCCTCAGAAATCCTCAGCGGGCCTCAGAGCTTCTCTGGTGATAGAGCAAGTGGGAAGGTAAAGGAGGTGAACAAAGTCACCCCAAACCTGCTTTAAACACAGCTTCATGGCTTTTGTACACTGAGCTTCCAAGTATAGTTTTTGAAGATAAGGTTTTATGAGAAAAAAATACAAACACACACACAAAAATAAACTTTAAAATCAAAAGAAACACCAAAAAAGTCTTACAAAGAGACAAGGTCCCATTTACATTTATACTTTTTTTTTCTTTTTTTGTCTTAGTACTCTTACTATAAACAGTTAAGTTAGGCAGCCAGACAGGGCTAGTCCCTCAAGGGAGTCAGTGCAAAAGATGAGACCACATTACAATTGTAGCTGGAAGTGCATCTGTTGAAGGCCAAGCCTCAAGATAAAGATAGAATGACCAGGCCTACATGTCTCCACAAGAGATAAGCAATAAATTGAGATTATACTATAATTGGTACCATCTGGTCCAGTAAAGTCCAGATAGACATCAGTCACCCAAGTGGGTTACTACAGCATCCAGACCCATTCCTTCCCCAAAATACCTCTGTTCTTTCCATGCTTGCTACATGATCTGCTTCCCTACTAGATCAATATTAGCCAACTGAGTATACTTATAATCTTATTGGTTAATCATAGCTTGACCCACATTGTACTCTCCTCATGATTTTGTACCCATCTTGTGATTTTGCTCTATAAAACATGCTTAGAGAAGTGGCCTCAGTGGCAACCCACTTTTGGGTCCCCTCTGGTTTCTCAGGAGCTATCTCTCAATAAATCTTTCCAACTCTTCACCTCTGTTGTTCTTTAGAATTCATTCTTCAATTTCAGGGGACACAAACTCAATGTATCTGACATCTAGCAGGCTGGGAGTTATATTTTCCCCCATAGCATTTTTACTTGAGTATACTTATAATCTTATTGGTTAATCATAGCTTGACCCACATTGTACTCTCCTCATGATTTTGTACCCATCTTGTGATTTTGCTCTATAAAACATGCTTAGAGAAGTGGCCTCAGTGGCAACCCACTTTTGGGTCCCCTCTGGTTTCTCAGGAGCTATCTCTCAATAAATCTTTCCAACTCTTCACCTCTGTTGTTCTTTAGAATTCATTCTTCAATTTCAGGGGACACAAACTCAATGTATCTGACATCTAGCAGGCTGGGAGTTATATTTTCCCCCATAGCATTTTTACTTGCTTTAACATAGAACTTCTAAAACACAACACCACCACAAAATCAATTCTTTCTTGGGCTCCCTCATGTAGCTCACAGGTGCTCAGAAAGTTCCTTAATTTTTTTTCTAATTTGTAGTACTAGGGATTAAACTAGGGACACAGCTACAACCCAGACCTTTTAAAAAATTTTGTAACACAGTCTTGCAAAGTTACTAAACTGCCTAGGCAGACCTAGACCTTACTATCGTCCTTCCTCACTTACAGAATGTTGAGATTACAGGCATTCATCATCACACCCTCCTCTTTGATGTTCTTCTATTTGTTCATGATGCCACACACAATGCCATGTGAAGACAGTATCTATAGCCTCCCTATACAATGCTCTGATTCTCTTGTTTAAGGAAAAAAAAGAAGCATTCCTACTTCTTAACAAAAATGAGAAGTACATTTTTCCTCCACAGAAGGACTCACATCCATCATCCTAGGTCTTCACTTTCCTCCTTCTAGATAACTCAACAGAAAGCTTTCTCATTTTCCCTAATCTCTCCTCTCCTTAACTCCACTACCATACAAAGAAATTATAACTACACAAACCTCTGGGGATCTCAGGACCACCAATTCAGACAGACTATAATTCCCAGCTAAAGCCGGGGAAGACAATGTCCATATTTAGAAAGATCCAATAATTAAGCTTCTTATCTCTAAATTATCTTCTAATCTCTAAATTAAAAACAAGCTACACATTACCACTTTCAAAAATATACATGGCTTACCTATTGTATTTCTCAAAGGATGGAGTGTCAGTTCATTTCCCTTTCCCCTTTTTTCATCTGAGATTTGAAAACGAGGTTTCAAACTCCTTTTAAACTGATCTCAAATTCCTGGGATTAAGTGATGCTTCCACCCCGGCCTCCTGAGTACTGGGACTACAAGTATGCAACACCCTGTCCACTTTGACAATTCACGTTTGTTAGGGGGGGAAAAAACTGCCTAAAATTCAGGAAGCCTGAGTTCTAGTCCTACTTCCAGTTGCTATGTGAATTTAAGCAAACCATTTAACTTCTCTCAGCCAATTTTTCATCTGTAATAAGGAAACTGGGGATTGGGGGTGGGAATTTAGTGGGAAAGTACTTGCCTAGCATGGATGAAGCCTTGGCTTAAACCCCTAGAACAACAACAACAGAATAAATTAAAGTGGTCTAGTCTCACAAGTGATCCAACTGGATCTGGAGCTTCATATAATTAGCAAAAATTCCCTGTACTTCAGTTCTCATACATACCTGTGAAAGTGCTCCTAGGCATACTGTCATGCATAATCTACCAGTCAAAAAAAACCACAAAATTCTAGTATAGGTCAGGCATGGTGGCACACACCTGTAATTCCAACACTTGAGAGGCTGAGGCAGAAGGATCGCCATGTGTTCAAGGCCAGTATGGGCTACATAGCTGAGTTCAAGACCAGCCTTGCCAGGGCTATAGCTCGGCGGCACAAGTGCCTGCCTGGTAAGCACAAGGTCCTGAGTTTGATTCTTGGTGCAAAAAAAAAAAAAAAAAAAAAAAAAAATGACCAGCCTGAACTATACAGTGAGACCCTGTCTCAAAAAATAAATAAATTCCAGTATATGTCTTCAGTTATTTAAAAAAACTAATAACGGTAATTTTGGCCTCCACTTCCCGCATCTTCTTCTCCCTCTTCCTAAAGCAGACTGGTTGGTAACATACAAAGTGAAAACTACTGACCTATGATATGATTTATTCATTCATTTGATAAATACCTGAGTGTACAATTATGTACCAGGCATTAAGCTAAGCACAACATTTGAAAAAAAAAAGAATTTTTGGACAAAACTATATAATAAAGCAGATGGGCTTGAGTCCTGGGGACTTGATTATTACACACTGCAGTTTGATGAGACATTGTCCCATCTCGACTCACTCTAACACTTGGCTAGAAGAGAAATATGAACCAAGTTTCCCCAGAATAAATCATCAACAACCAAAAAAAACACAAAACAAAACAACAACAAAAAAAACTCTGTATGTTTGTGTCTCTATTCATCAAGGAGGACAGAAGCTGAGAAACCAAGTTAGGCATGTCACAGAGACAATGAGGAGCAGTGCCAAAAAACATGAACCTGGCTACCCATCAGTCTGTCCTAACGAGTCCTGAAGTTCTTCAAGATTCTATATCCTACAAACTGACTTCAAGATTTATAGTGGATCACCACTTTCTCAATTCTAGGGTAGAAAAGAAAGTTCTATAAACCTGGAAAAATCTAAATTTCATCCTCTAACATCCTCTAACATTCTGCTGGCAGGCATCTGGTACAAAGTCGAGGTTGGTCATCCTTGAATTAACTCGCTTTTCATTATAACTGCAATCTGTGAAACAAGCAAGATGTGAACAGCACCGGCCACACTTTTGCTCTTTGCGCACCTCAGCACTTCTGCTTGTTAACCACCGCCCTAACCCGCTTGCACTTCACAGAACTTGAAGAATGAGGGTAAAGTCCGGCACTTGTTAGTAAGGGGTCTTCTAAGTGATTCCAAGCAGCAGGCTGCTTTCTAAAATGCAGCTAGGAGTGCTTTCTCTCTTTTTCTTTTTTAGAGCTGGGCAAATTCTAAACCTGCGGTAAGGCAGTGCAGGCGCGGGTTTAACGTGGGGAGCAGGGGGAGGGGACGGAGGTGGGGACACTGGCGCCGACAGGGCAACCCTAACGAGGCTGCAGAACCCAGAGCGGGCTCCAGGGGCGACAAAAGCCAACAGCACGTGCTACGAGAGAGACAGAGACTACGCCAAAGCGCCGCGCTCCCCTCAGGGTGCCCTGAGATGGAAACCCGGGGCCGGGGTCCCTCTCGCCGCCCAGGAGGAGTCTCGGAGGGTACCTGACTGCGGGCGGCCAGTCCACAGCCCCCTCCCGCCGCCCCGGCCGCAGAGGAGGCTGCTTCTCCGCAGAGCCGCCGCGCTCCACAGCATGGCGCACCTCTCAGACCGCCCGGGCCGCGGCGTGAGGAGCAAACGCGACGACACCGCGCCTTCCGCCGCTGGGGGCGCTCGCGAGCACCTCGGGCTCCGCCCCCCGCCGGGCGGGGCGGGACGCTGGTGAATTCGCGCCGTCTCTGGTGGGGTTTCTTCCCTGAAGCGCAAAGTGAGGACTGGTGGTCAGGGAAGACCTTCACCGGAGTCTGGTATTCGGTTTTTCCTTTGTTTTTTCTCTCACTTCGACTAAGTCATTCAAGTCTCCTCTGAATTCAGTACCCTATTTATCCCGTCGCCCGTTGCGGAACCTTTGTGAGACAGGAACCAATGTGCCAAAGGCTTTGGCGGCCGGAGGACTGTTTGCGTGAAGGACTACCAGTTCTCCGTGGCGGGTCCGTCGGTACAGTTCCGGTGGGAGAACGCGGCAGTGAAGGCTTCGTCTTCGGTTCCTGCCATGCACCGACCGAATTTTCGACCCCCGACTCCTCCTTACCCCGGCCCGGGTGTAGGAGGCTGGGGTAGCGGGAGCAGCTTCCTGGGTACCCCGGGCGGGGGCGGACCGCGGCCGCCCTCCCCTCGGGACGGGTACGGGAGTCCGCACCACACGCCGCCGTGCGGGCCCCGGGCTAGGCCCTACGGAAGCAGCCACTCTCCGCGACGCGGCGGCGGCTTCTCGGGGGGCCGGCTCGGGTCTCCGTCCCCTGGCGGCTACCCTGGCTCCTACTCCAGGTCCCCCGCGGGGTCCCAGCAGCAATTCGGCTACTCCCCAGGGCAGCAGCAGACCCACCCCCAGGTAATCATAGCCAGCGTTTGCCGAGCTCTTCCTGTGTGGCAGGCATGGTACTCATATTCCCTTTACGTGGATTATTTTGTTTAATCCTCTCTGAGGTGACTTTCTATGGTTAGCCCTATTTTGCAGATGAGTCGACTGAAGCTTAGAGAATTTATGTTCCTTACAGTTAGCCTAAAAAGTGACAGAGCTATAGTTCTGTTCTGAGAGCCCTTGTGCTTTTAACCCGTGAACTGCCACTCCTACACAGTTTTCCCAAACTCTCTATTTCCTCCTCTTTGCCAGGGGCCTTGTCAGCTCGTCTCAGGAAATTATTCTAAGCCCGTGAGCTCCTATGGGAGAAAAATTCAGTGAAACCCCAGTATATAGTTCCTGTCGATTATAGACTGTTGCCATTTTCTACAGCAGTTACCTGTCTTTTTCCTTTTTTTCCCCCCCACCTTTTTTTAAACCTTTATCTTCATTCGAGCTACGTTTCCCTTCGGTAGCACTGGGAGTTTTCCATATCAGTGAGAATGAATACAAAGCAGAGGGGATTATTTCCAAAGTGTCTAGGATTTCTTTTGCTAACAACTTAGATCTACTCAGTATTTTCCAACTTTGTGTGTGCTAAATCATTCCCGCCTCTTTGAGCGTGGAGCTAATAGAAGATTTTCGTTAGATAGATGGGTTCTAAAAGCTCTGTAGGGTTAAAAAATAAGTTTTGGTTTCCCTCCAGGATAAAAAATAAGTTTCCAGGGAAAACTGAATACATTTATTTCACTACATCATTGCTTGTATGTGATATCACTACCACTTGTGTTTAGTAACTGCAGAGTTATTACATTAAAAAGTCAAAAAAGAATTCAAAAAAAAAAAGAATGTGAGGTGACAGTGGGAATGGAATTGTTAAGCATACTAAATTGATTTAAGGACTTTTAGCAAAAACACTAGATTAAAGGAAGCATAAACTTTGCTATTGAATGTACCTGTATTTGGTTTCAAGAGACAACTTTAACCAGCAGTATGATCCACACTAGTCTTTAACAAAAGGAAAAAGTACCAATTACCTCTACTAAATGTTTTTTTTTAACTGATGATTTTTTTCCTAAAGGGTTCTCCAAGGACTTCTACACCATTTGGATCAGGGCGTGTTAGAGAAAAAAGAATGTCTAATGAGTTGGAAAGTTATTTCAAGCCTTCAATGCTTGAAGACCCTTGGGCTGGCCTAGAACCAGTATCTGTAGTGGATATAAGCCAACAATACAGCAATACTCAAACATTCACAGGCAAAAAAGGAAGATACTTTTGTTAACATTTCTGAAATTCACCTGGAAGCTTCATGTGTCAGGAACATCTTGGACAAACTTTTACCTTGTGGTTAAGTTGAACCCAAAGATGATGACTCTGAATAACTAGTAAGGTCTTCATATTTTTCATCATATCAAGTGTTAGAGAAGAAGATAGGATAATTTGCAGTATTTAGCTCTCTGGAAGTGCCTACCACATTTAGAAGATTTACAGTTTCCATATATTTCATATTCCTGATTATATAATGAACATTTGTCTTTTAATGTTTTTCCAATGTTTTAAAATAAAACATTTTGTCTTTCTAGCTATATTGTGATTTTCTGGTATGATAAGTAAAATTACTAAAATATGCCTTGTTAACACTAGAATTTGTAAAATGTTTTTCAAACTAGTTTTAAAAATGCAATATGCCTCTAGATAAAATGGATAAACCACCCTTTGAGCTAAAGACAGTTTTATTTGTTCATAAAGGAAGAGAATAGCAGAATTCTGTTCATACTCGAAGTAACCATTGTTCTACATACATGTTTTATGTAAAGCTTCTGTAAAAATGCTTTGAAAGTTGATTTCAAGTCACAGAAACCTACTTATCATGAGCTTATACTCATTTAATCAGAAAAAGCAAAGATAGAACATGTATAGCTAGGTAAGTGTTCTGTCTTAATTTGTCTGTTTCTCAGAATTGTGGATTTACTCTTGAGGCCAAAAAAAGATGGCCACTAGCAATCTCAAATCACTTAATTCTATCCCAGAGAAGGCAAATCGACCATGCTTACATGATGCTTCTGTATTATTAAACCAATTAACTTTGACCAAGGCAGTGAGGCCTAGTTACAGTAGCTTGAACCATGGACCCATCCCTATGCTGAGAGGAAGTTAAGTGATCGTTTAGCCCCACTGAAACTACTTAGACTAGGGAAGTGGCTTTCCGAAGTAAGAGATGATACATGTATATATACCTATAGTGATGGGTATAGGACAGAATGAATTTCTCCACAATTATTTTAAGTCAAACCTTAAGTGCACTCACTCTCGTTAAATATTGTAGGGCCACAAAACATGAAAATGGAACTAGTTAAAATTTTGTTTCAACATTCCCAAAAAGAAACATCTAAAAATGAAATTGTCACCATCTGTTTCAGCCATGCCCAATTCTTTTTGTTTAATGAAAACCGTAATTGTGGAAATTATCAGTTACTAACTGTATGAGTTAACTATATGATTTTCCTACATATGGAAATTAATAGTACCTGTGTCATAGTACCTGGCATCTTTGGAGATTAAATGAATTTATATGTGTGAGACTCTTAAGCCGGGGCCTGGAACATAGTAAGCACACTCCATAAATGGTGCTTTCCTTTATTTCCCCTATGTCTTCAGTTTTTAAGGTAGTGCCAGCAAAATAGGCACTAAATAAATACTTGATGAATTAATATAGAAATTCTGATTATTACTATATTTCTCTCCCTACTCTACATATAGTAAGGGTTAACAGTGATTTTATTTTATTTTTTTTTGTTTGTTTGTTTGTTTTTTTGTTTTTCTCCGGTACCGGGAACCGAACTCACGACCTTGCGCTTGCCAGGCAGGCGCTTTGCCGCTGAGCTAAATCCCCAGCCCCGGTTAACAGTGATTTTACCCAGTATCTTAAAGGAAAAGTCTTATTCCCTAACGTCTTGTCTTGCCAGATATATTGAGATCATGATGTATGAGACATTTAAAGCAAATAGACTCCTTTCATAAATGCCTTTTTTTAAACTTCATAGGTAAGACATATCTTCAGAAAATGATATTTGGAGATAATTATTAGGTAATCTTTTAGAGATCATTAGGTTATTGTCAGAGACAGGGAAGTTAGGATACCAGGTATAGTGGTACGTTCCTGAATCTAAGCTAGTTGGCAGTCAGGACCAAGAGGATTGCAAGTTCAAGGCAAGGCTGTGCAATTTAGCAAGACCCGACCTCAGAAAATAAAAGGATTTTATGCCAAAGTACTTTCATCATACTTGGAAAACAGTCAAATATAACTCACCTTATAGTGTATGTGCATGTTTTTTCACTGCCTTACTTTAGAAGTGAAATAGTAAACGAGTAAAATTTCTTGCTAAGTCACCAACACTAGTTTCTTCAGATTTGGCCTTTGATAACTTTTTTTTTTAGGAGAAAACAGTTTTCCCCCAGGAAAGATGCATACAGCATTGGTAAAGTCATTATGGCATGGGTAATTTGATTTATTTCTATTTTTTTGTTGTTGTTCAGCTGAGTGAAGGGAAAATTTTACTGTTTAAAATAGAAAGTGATTGGTTTTTTAGTGTTCCTGAGTATACATTTTACATCCATAGAAATACTGAACAACTTTTTAGAAAAATGTTTCATCAAGAATGTATCCTAGGGGCTGGGGATTTAGCTCAGCAGCAAAAGCGCCTGCCTGGCAAGCTCAAGGTCGTGAGTTCAGTTCCCCGTACTGGAGAAAAACCAAAAAAAAAAAAGAATGTATCCTAAAAGTTGAGATAATTCAAGAAGGAAGTATTAAACTATGATAGGGTCTTCAAACAAGGAAATACAGCTTTCTCAGAGATGTACAAGCATGGAAAGGGAATCCAGGTTTAGCTCCTCAGTTCCCTTATGAACTCTTGTTAAAATAGATAAACCTAAGAACACGCCCACAATTAAGAGATCATACCAGTTCTTTTCATAATTGCTTTCCACCTTACAAAAGAAACCTGTGACAAGCTGTATTTTCCAAAAATAACCCTAATGTCATTTCAGGTAATACATACTCTCCTAGAGAGACAGACATCCCTGACACAGCCTTGTCAGGATGTTGTGTCCCTTTCATTTAAACCTGAACAGATCTAACTTCCCTAATTGAGCAATTATGAAGAAAATGAATATAATCTTATTATTGATAAAATATAGTGTTAGAAATGGGTTACCTAATGACCCATGCAGAAATGTTCATAGTTCAGATGTACTCATCATGTAGGGAGATGACTGTGTGTGTTTAATGACCTTACCTTTATTGTTCTCTGATAATTTACAAAGCTGAATTCTGTGGGTAAAGTGTATAAAAGAAAATAAAGAACTTGAACCTTACATGAAGGGAAAGGAAACTTTTTAGGCAAATGCTAAGGAGTTTTGTCTCATCTCTAGGAGTTAGAATATTCAGATCTGATATAAAAGCAGTTTTGATTAATCAAAACTTGTGAAGCAGGCTTTCTGTACTTTCACTTTTTTGAGTGATAAATGTGTCTCAGTCCCTGTCTCGGCATAATTTGTATGATTTCAAGGAAGAAGTTAAAAGTTTCATAGTTACTTCTGACATACTAACATTCCATCTTCAAGTTAAAAGAACTTGTGTTAGAGGTAAGTTGATGGTTTTATAATTTCTGGAACATGTTTTAGATTATTAGGAGAAACATTTTCATTAATTAACCTTTACCAGTACATTATTGGAGTCTACATGCATATTGTTTTACCTAGGCCCAGGTCTCCTATTGTTGTCACTCAGTCATTTCTCTGCTTTCTTGATCCCTGTCATGTACTTAAGGATAAACTAACAAATATTTTGTGATTTTTATTGTAAGTAAGACACATAATAGTTATCAGAATACTTTATATAAGACCTGAACTAACCAGTGACTCAATATCATTTCTTTTTGCTCTTAATTTCCAAATTTTATCACCTAATCTGAAACTATCACAATTCACCATTCTATATACCACTTCATAAAAACATGGCTAGTTAAACTAAGAAATACTATCAATTTTAAGATGCTTCTCAATTTCTGAGATAATTGAATGTGTCTTAGTTTGATGCAATACTACATACAATATGCTATGTACTGTATACCATTAAAAGTAAAACCTACATGGAAGTATAGGAGTAAATGTCTCCCAAAATGTGGATTAGCACATAGTCATTTAACTAGAAAGTCAGTATTACTTAAAGCTAATTCTTTGCAGAAATTTGCATTATGTTCTAATTCATAAAAGCATAAATTACAGTATCAGTAATAAAATCTCTGCATAATCTTCAAGAAATCTGTAATTTACAGTGTTGTGATAGTTCTCCCTCAATTTTGTCTAATTTTAAGTTTCATAAGCAACCAGACTTAAGTAAAAGTCTTGAACGTTTTTGTATAATTTACAAAGGAATTGAGAAAGACTCTGATTTGAACAGCAGGGTCTTCAGTAGTTTTAGTTTCAATTCTTCACTTTGAGAAAAATTGAAGAAAGCTTAAATTGTCATCTAAGATTATTAAACATAACAATGATAGATGTTTATGACTTTTAGCATGTAACTTGAAAAAGTTCAGTAGTTGAATGGCATCATTATATAAAAGGGATTCTTTCTATCCCTTTTTACTTATATACATGAATTCTTTAGTACCTGTATCTGTACTTTAAAAAAGAGTAACAAATTTGATTCTCATTCTACCATAGTTAAGGGGGCACATGCCTACAGTCCCATCTGCTCAGAAGATTGAGGTCAGAGGATTGCAAGTTGTAGGCCACCTTGAGCAATGTACTGAGGCCCTTTATCAAAAAAAAAAAAAAGTTTTCAAAGGGCTAGGATATAAGACAGTTGTAGTAGAGTGCTTGACTAGCATGTGTGAGGCTCTGGGTTCAATCTCCGCTATCACAAAAAAAATTTTTAATAAACAACTTACTCATGTTTTAAGGAATGATGGTGGATATTAAATCATATTTAGATTCCACTGGATATTTTAATGAGTTGGTCTTAAATATTACAAAAATTATATCCTTTGCAATTTTCAAAATGATAAATATGTTTTTATGTTAACTTATAAGATGGTATTTTTGGTTTTCAAAATTATTGTATGAATATGGAACCAACATTTTTTTTAAGTCTCAAACCAGCTGAGGGAAAAATAGTAAACTAACAGAAACTTCAAAAGAAAAGAAAAGAAGGTTACAATGATCGTAACAGCCGGGCGTGGTGGTACACACCTGTAATTCCAGGAGGCAGAGGCAGGAAGATCCTTGAAAATTCAAGACCACCCTGGGCTATAAAGTAAGCTAAGGCCAGTTTGAATGGCATAGCGAAAGCCTGTCTCAAAAATAAAATAAAATGACAGTAATGAGTCCAAATATTACAGTAATCAAAATGAATCTAAATGAAATATTTTTCTTTTAAAAAGAGTACCCTGTTTTATTAGAAAAATGGAATCTACTTGCTGATTTGGAAAAGTATATCTAAAATAAAGGTTATAAAAAGTCAATTTTATCATTATACTGTAGGTTTTAGCACATCTCTACCAAAAACAGACATATTGAACA